TAAATCTTTCCAAATCTTATTTTTTTATGCATACCTTGATCAGGGTAAAAGCGCTTGGCGATCGGACGTCTATATCCTATAGCTCCCATAGGAACAATACGGTGAAATCGGTTAAAATTTAATGATTTTTAGGATATTTCGCACAGTATATAAGCAATTGACATGAATCTTTCCAAATCGTATTTTTTTATGCATACCTTGATTAGGGTAAAAGCACGTGACGATCGGACGTCTATATCCTACAGCTCCTATAGGAACAACAGGGTGAAATCGGTCCAAATTTGTTGGTTTTCTGAATTTTTCGCGTAGTGTGTAAGCTACTGACATACATTTTTCCAAGTCTTATTTATTTACGCATATCTTGATTAGGGTAAAAGCGCTTGCCGATCGGACGTCTATTTCTTATAGCTTCCGTAGGAAAAATAGTTAAAGGCTGCGAAAGTATCCCTTTTTTTCCATTTTTATATGACATTTTTGCAGTATAAAAGCAATTGACATCAAACGACGCAAATCTAGTTTATTTATGTATATCTTATTCCTTTCGCTACTTTTTCAGTTTTAGCAACTTCGGCAAAGTCTGCAAGGGTATTAAAACTTCGGCTTGCCGAAGTTAGCTTCCGTCCTCGTTGAGGTTGGTCTTGTACTTCGTTGTTTCTGTTTCCTTGTTGTTTATCTGTCTGCGTCTTTGTCTTGACTTGCGGGTTGTGTTCCTTCCGTGTGTATGAGTGAGTGTTAGTGTCGCTTTTTGTGTTTGTTTATTTGCTTGTTTGCTTTGCGTGGCTTGTCTCGGCGGTTTTTCTTCCTTGGGAGGTGTGGGAGGCGTGGCAGGGGGCCTAAGTATAAGCAGCTGTCAATTTTGATGGGCCACTCACTCGTTTTCCCCCATTTTCCAGCAGCAGGATCCTTTTGGAGAAGCCCGGGCTATTTACGTCAGCGCTTTCAATTAAGAATGTTTTATGTGCAGCGAAGGAAATTAGCATTTATTGTTGTTGAGCGCGACATCCTTCACTCACGCTTTTCCCTTTTCGCTGGCCATACGTAAACTCGATTATTTCTGCACCTCCAGTTATGACTGCAGTTTGACAGGCAATCTCTTCGAAGGATATCGACGTGGAAATTACCTTTTACATTGTTAATACCCTACAGAAAATTATGATTAGGATCACTATACTTCTAAGTCACGAAAAGGACATAGGACAAAGCTAGAAAATATATAATCACGAGGTACTAGGCTGGGAGTGAAATGCTTTGGTGATTATAGACTATGGATAATGATTATAGAGTTTTACGTCAAACTGAAGATAGAAGTAAGTGCTGCTTTTATAGTAATTTGAAGACCGCGTAAGTTTAAATAATAAATATATATATATATATATACATTTTGATGTGCTCTTTACAAAACTTGTTAAGCGATTTGAATTCTTGGAGCATAGTCTTTCCGCTCTCCTATTTACAGGGTATGCAAGGTAGAGAGAAGGTAGGAAACGCCTGGCAGCAGACGGAAATGGCATTTTGCGCTGGAAACTGTTGCTCCATCGCAGCTGCAACTGCACTTTCATTACTTATTTCCACCCCCAAGCCCCCAAAAGTCCAACCCTTTTACAAACAAAAACCTTGCGGGCAGAGGGAGCTTAAATCAACGCAAGGCGCACTTTGAATTACAAATGATATTGGGTAATTCCAGACTCGCAATCCCATATAAATGCCAAAGCCATAGCCCTGACCACGCCCACTTCACCGGCCCGTCGTCCGCGCCCCCCTTTTTAGCCGTAGCAATTTGCTAATTTCGAATGCACTTCGAAATGTTTGCCCAATTTGGTTGGCCAACATTTTAAAACATGACTTGACAATCATGCCGCGGGCGATGGCGAAAGGGTTTTCAGGGGGCTTAAGAGGCGGTGGACTAGTAACTGGTAACTGGTAACTTGTTAGGGGGCGTGGCAGGGACTTCTGACGTGACTGTGACTGCGCAGAAAGTTTTATTCATCAAGCTGATACCGTCGAGCGTTGTTTAACAACAGTCAGGGGAGTAGGGCCAAAGGGTGCGGGACAATGGAGGGGGATTTTCCATGGGCAGAGGAAAAGCTGCCACCTAAAAGGATGAAGCGAAAACAGTTCTTGGGATAAAATTTATGCACTGAGAGAAAGAAAATGGAGAGTTAGGCTTTAAAATTTAGGTAAAAAATTTTAAAAATAATTACTTCCGATCAGGTCTTCCAGTATCACTCCTAATTAGGTAAAGTGACCTCGATTTTTGGCCAAAATAATTTTTTAAGTAATGAGAATAATAATAAGAAATATTAAAAAAAAATTTTTTTTTATTCCATGTGTACTTTTAAGTGTCAGATATAACAAAATTATAACATTTCATGATTTCATTATATTAGAGAAGTTTTGATGTGCTATAGATGAGGTTTGGTGACCCATATTCATTATTTATGAGCTTTTAATATAGTTGACTCAAAACAAAGAATGAAGACCCAGAATTTACTTATTGAACCGCGATTTATTATTTATATTATTATTTCTCTAGCATACAGTGACTTCTTCTAGTGTCTTTTATCCTATTTATATAAATGGAACCTCTGATAGGAGTGAGCAGTGCAGTAAGTTACTGCAGGTCAAGAGCGACAAAGATGGCGCTCTATAATAGGAGGAGCCAGAAGAGGATAGAGGATGTCAGGAGGTTGGGGATAATTTACGCTTTAAAGTTTTGCATTTCTCTGATATTGTTGGGGATATAATTTTAATTAAATTCGAGAGTTTGCTTCTTCCACCTTGACTGTCCATTCTCTTAAAAGGCTCCTCTGCCCCTCGAAAACCGATAACCCGACACCGATAACACTTTTTAAAGTAGTTTTGGGTAGTGTGCAGCTTGTTGCAAGCTGCACACGGCAACTCATCTTCAACTTTAATTAAATGTATTGTTTTTTCATCTGGCATATATAGGTGTGTGCGTGCATTCTTTCCACACGCTTCATTTGCCTCCAGTCCCCCTTTCTCTTCCCCTTTCCCTTCCCCTTCTCCTTCCCCTTATCCCGTTTCTGGAGATCGCCGCAAAAGTTTGCTCAACTTTTGCGCTTTGTTCCACATGCTTGACGCACACTTCTCCAAACCACATAGTTCGGTGAGTATCGGTAGCGGTACGGGGTTTTCCGGGGGCAACTGGAATGCATGTACAGCTGCGGCCAAATTAATAGATGTACTGCACTCCATTTTAAAGAAAAGCTATTTTAATATTTTTTTGAAGAACATTTACAATCATTAATCGAAAAACCTAATTATAGCATTTATGGCATTTAAAGTACTATTAATTAATTGTAACTGTTTTTACGTACAAAAATTTTTTACTTCGATTGAATTTGTCTGTTGACGCAAATACCAGCCTGTTTAACTTAAGATTTTATTTCAAATGAATTCAATTTGATTTCATTGAATAATGTGTTAACAAACAAAATGCTATTTAAAGAACCCCTGCTGTATTCGGAACCTTTTTGTGTGCCATGCATCGCGATGAGTTTTATGGTAGTCAACATGCAATTGTGCGATGCTCTTCACTTTTGCTAACTAACACAGAACATGGCAAATCCATTGGGTGTGGCGGAGGAGTGGGGGGCCAAGGTCCAAAAAGGGGGCGTGGGAGGCGGCAATAGGCTGTGTCCTATTTGACAAAAGTTTGCCAGCTGCGCGAAGTTCTAATGAGCAAATTCTTTCGGGCAACAAAAGTGAGTTGTGTTTGGGCTGCAGATGAAAATAAAAAAGGAGAAAGGCGAGAAAAAGGAAAAAGCCAAGGAAGAAGTCGGTTAGAAAGGATGAGACGATTCCTTGGCTATCCTAGCGATTGTCGACTAACTTTTCTCCTTTTCGCGCTCTCTTATTCTAGGAATTTTAAAAGTGATGCAAGTACTATTTTTCTTATTTCTAGCCCCGGGCCTTGTTCGCATTATAGTTTAAATTATCTTTATAGCTTATATATTTAAGGCCAATTGGGTAGTTTTCTTTACCATAAAACGGATATCTTAAAATGTGTTTATAAATATGTTTTTGTGAAATATGGGTCACTAGCTTTTATTGCTCACTGGTATTTGTTTTATTCCAATTTGTAATTTATAGTCAATTGTCTTATGATATCAGTCGAAAGTTTGCATCGCAAAGGTATTAAAACTGGCCGAATTCAGCCTTCGTTCTCGTTTTATATAGTATTTCTTTTAACATTAAAAATTCCATATTCATTTTCGTTCCACCTGTATTAATTGCATTTCTTCGGCTTTCTTTGTGAGTTAATTTCCTTTCATTTCGTTTCCTCTTCTTTGCTGCTCCTGTCATCTTAACTTTGTTATCTTCTGTTTCTTATCCCTGTGCCGTTTTCTTAAGCTTAAATCTCTTTTCACTCTTTGTCTTTGGTGGCCACACCTTTGCACTTTCTCAGCTTTCTTTTCCGGTTAATTTCCCATCATCTCATTGCCGTTTTGCTCAGTTTTTTTTTTCATTTATTTCTGCCGAGTGCAGCATTTGCTCATTTTTTGGACTGCCCCCTCCCACATTCATAAATTCCATCTGTAATCTGGCCTATCTATTCCATTCATCTCTATTTATTACCCGTCTTTGCTCGCTTTCTCCCTGTGTATAAGTGTTTGGCTGGTTGCTTTATCCTTTTGCTGGTTCCTTATCCTTTTTTTACTCTTCGATGGTCTTTAATCTGCCCCTTCATCGCTGATAGTTGCGTTCATTCCATTTTAATTCGTTTCTCATATAAAATGTCTTTCTTTAAACTCGGGGTGGGGTTCTCCTGAATCTTCCAGCAAATTCTCCAGCCCCTCTTCACCCCACGAATCCTTGCTTCCCTTGTATGTGGATGAACTCCTTCACGGTTGCTTCTTCAACTTTACAGCGCTTATCGCCTTCGCAAGCCAAGGCTGCTCCTTGGTTCCTTCGTTCCATCTGCCCATCTGCCACCCAGTTGCTCCTCCCCCCATTGGCATTTCATTTGAGCTTGTCTATCAGCAATCCACTTGAAGGATGCCACAATCTTTCGCCTGCTCCTGATGATTCTGATGCTGATGATGCGTCTTCATCCGCGTCCGCATCTTTGTCTTGTCCGTAGTCCTTGGTCCTTGGTCCTCGGTCCTCCTCTTGGTCCTGGATTTATTCTTGGTTCTGGCCAGGAGCAGTATCAGCACTAATGCACACTGGGCGAAAAATGACCAAGGGTTGCACAACGACATTAATTAAAATAATTAAAATATCGCCTTTAATAATTAATTATTGTTGAAAATGTAAGGTGTTTTAATATAGCCAAATTGTATTTATTTATAAAATAGTAGTTTTTATTTCTTTATGCCATCAAATATGAATTTGAAATCAGCCCAAATTCACCCATTTATTTCGCTGTGTGGCTTGAGAACAGCTCGCATCGGCATCAAACCACAACAAATTGCAAAAAACATTTCCATGCGACTTACTTACATTTCTTTGTGGCTCCTGCGAGCTCCAGATCCTTCTGTGTTCCCCGATGTCCTCCCACCGGAATGCCGTTTTGCCGTTTTGCCGCACTTGTCTGCCCAACTTAATGCCTATTTATTGCCCCTTTAATCTGCTGTCCGGAAGGAAGAGGGCTGTGCTGAGCTGGGCACTGGAATCGGGGTCTTGAGGCATTCGAGTGAACTGGACAATACTGGGAATCGCATCGCTTGGAATTGAATCTTCACCACTCGATAATTTAACAATTACGCTAAGCAGTGGCCCACAGACAAGCTCACATGTGTGCACACAAGTGCAAACAATTATCTAATTGATTTTGGTATTACAAAATTTGCCCAGAAGTTCGAATTGAAATCATTTGAATTAGCAGTTAAACGATTGCTTCTCTACACATGCAAAAATATGCATTTCAATTACACGGCTCACTCTTTAAAAAGAAGTGTCAAGAAAATTCAAAAATCGTTATACGCGTCAAAATGTCGATATAATTTATCAAATATTGGACAAATACTAACATTTTTGTTATGTTTGTTATGAAAAATCGTACAAATACTATATTATTTAATTATGGACATAAATATAACGATAGAGTGATATTTTCTATGAAACCTAATTCATAATTTTCTTACAAATATCTATAGAATTTTTATTGGCAAACCCTTAGGATGATATTTTCTGCCCGTGTAAGTATTTTTCTTTCGAAACAAGTAATACGGATAGCTATTCGTACCGCATTTACAAAACGATGTAATTTTGGTCGGGTGCAAATTAATTTATTTGAAATTTATCCAAAAGACTCCTGTAATTCCTCGAACCGAATTCCGATTTCAGTTGCAATTGCTCCGATGATTCGCACTCATTGCTCCAGATGATTCGACAATTTCATTAAAATGTTGCACACAACTTAAGTAAAAGTACAGTGGGGAAAGGGGGGGAGGGTGGTGGCATTGGGGGTTAAAGAGCAGGCGGGATTCCCTGCCAAGGCAAAAACCAATATCAAATATTTAAGCACTTCAAATTGCTCGTTTGCACTTGCCAAAATAACTACGCCAAATTCAAGACGATGACGAATACGATGAAGATGAAGACGAGGATGATGAAGAAGTTCAAGTGGAAGACGCCAGAAGAAGATGAAGCAGCTGACAGGAGCAGGAAGAAGGATATTCAGCATGTAAACTTCCAGCGGGCTTGCCTCAAATGCATATTTTCAGGCTAAATTTGGCAATATATTCTTGGCTTTACAGCTGACTAATTTCAAAGGTTTGCAGGTGAAAAAGTATAAAGTTTTTAAGCTTTAAAGAAGCAAAGTTGCGAGTTTTATATTTGACTTTGGGTTGATCTTTAAACGGGAAGTTCTGAATAACTTTTTGCATGTAGGAACATTGTGTAAAATTATTAAAACAAATTCTTAAACCAACAAAACGGAGAGAATTTCAGATAAAAAACTATCCTTTTATAGATACTCTTAATTTGTTAAATATGCTGTGCAGATTAGAAGTGAAAATATATATTTGTAAAAATTATAACTGGTGCTAAAAAGAGTTATCTCTTTTAGATATGATTCTAGACAGTTGACAGCACATGGGGGGGTTAAAAGAGCATGAATGGGTTAAGATATGGGCCCGCACACGCACGTCTCACGAAGAACGAAGGACGAAGGAGTCTCTGTCTCTGTTTCTGTTTCTGGCTGCTCCTTCTCCTTATCCTTCGCTGGTTGCCAAGCAGTTGAGTCTGTTGCTGGCATTATCAAAAATTTAAAGTTTGCCATTATATTATATTTCCTTAAGTTGCAAATTAAACCCCTCAAGTGCAACCGGCCTCTGATGGCGTATAAATGCACTGCGAGAAACGAAAGGAAACTCATAAAAAAAAAATACAATAAAAATATTATTTTTTGTTTTGTGGTGTTTTTTGCTTTCATCGTCCCGAGTTAACTTCACAAACCCATTTATTTGGATACTAGTTTCGTATTAACTGAATTATAAGTAAATTCGAGATCAGAGGTTATGGAATAATAATATGGAATAAATATGGAAAGGTCTTCTTATAGTTTTATTCGTTTCCTTTACAAAGTCATAATTTTTGTAATGTACAAAATTAATATTCCCAAAGAGCAATAGTTGTAACTGCGTGAAACTAATTTCTGCGCTCATAATCCGAGACTACTAGGTTAAAAGCCTCACATCTCGACAAGTTGGGATGCTCAGTTCGTTTCTCGTATAAAAAGTGCACAGTCACGTTGATAAGGTCCTGTTCCTTGGAACCTACGACTATAGCGTATGAGCTGTCAAGAGCTTTTATAAACTCCTCCAAACATGAATAGGGCTCTTGGTACGGGCAACGCACTTCCACGACCAATCCCTTAGAGATCAGCTCATCCTGAAAGTCAGTGGCAAATTGAGAATGTTCCGAGTCCAGCTTGATGATTATGCAATCGGAAATCTGTTCCTGACCCGAAGAATCGGTCTCGGCTTGCACTACAATATCGGTCTCCTCCTGCTCGGGTCCATATCCATGTTCCTCCATCGATTCATAATTGGCATTGTGGACCAACAGAATTTTCGACTTGAACAGCGATCCGTGAAGAGCCAGAGTCGCTACGTTTGCCTTTCTTTCGGTCTCAAACATCACGAATCCGTGGTTTCCCCGGATCATCGAACCCACAACTCTTCCAAATACTGTGCAAATCTGAGCGAGTTCCTCGCGGGTGCAAGCGGGCAAATTTCCCACAAATATGCGATTCTTTTGATGGGTTGGCCCACGGTTTAGCTCAAGACCTGCGATGTCCAACATATTTTTTACTTAAACTTGCCAAATTTTAAATCATATCAATTGTTATCCACTCGGAAGGGTGACCAGACCTTATGGACAAGAAAATTACCCAAATTATGGTATATATGTACTATATTTGGTTTTGAGTGAACTTGTTTTTCGATCTGTATTCAGATTGACAACATTTCAGCCTACTGAAATAAACTCTGGATCTTTTCCTACATATATGCTAGCATAATGCACAAAAACTAAAACAAAATTAATTTAATTGGGTTAAAAATCAAATCAATCCCCCATTTTTTTGTTGTGTGTCTAAAGTGCGTATTATTTCAACATTTTCCTCTGTGTATTTTTAACAACACATATCTCTGCGCCAGCATGGTTTATTTAACAAGAACAGGACTCCGTCTCCGGCTTGCGTTGCAGTCTCAGATGGAGCTAAAGAATCCGAGTCCTGCCCATTGAAATGACCCACTTTCTGGTCTTTGGCTAAGGCAGAGCGTCGCCAGCTAAAAAAGGACAAGGAAAGGAAAGAAGCCCCCAAAGAAATCAAATGGAAGAGTTGTGCCACACATAGCCAAAAGCATCAGGATGAGATGAGCCGACGACCAGATGAAATAAAAACGACGACCTAGCGCTCTCGGCACTCAACACTCGGCACTCGTTTGGTGTGAGTGTAATGGTAATGGTAGTGTGAGTGTGCAGCAAGGAGCAATGAGTGGAAGCTTCGCTGCAAGGATGCTGTGGTGAGTTTCGCCAGGACTCTCTGGCACTCTCTTTTCTTGCAGACTTGCGGGGAAGAGCGCGAAGCTTCAAGCCAGGCTCAAAGATTTAAAATTATTCAAATTGTTTTAGCATACAAGCTTGTCAAAAAAATCAAATTACTATTAGTTAAAATATAACAAAAATTCTGTAAACATAAAAGACCGCTATTCAAGCCTTTATGCCATTTATAAGATCAACCAAAAACCCCTATTAACGAGATAAAAATGTTGTGACGAGCGCACTTTTATCATAAACAAGAAAGGAAAGCTAACTTCGGGCGGAGCCGAAGTTGAAATACCCTTGCAGAATATTCTGCAAATTATATTCTCCAAAATCATTCATAATGCATTCTTAATACTCATAAAAAATCCCAACTTCCTAACTTTAAAAGCACCAAAGTTATATCATTTCCAATCGTTCAGTTATATGGCAGCTATAGAATATAGTCGGCCGATCCTTATGAAATTTGATATGTCGGATTGATTAGGCAAAAATAAAACCCATAGAAAATCCCAACTTCCTAACTTAACAAACACCAAAGTTATGGCATTTCCGATCAATCAGTTATATGGCAGCTATAAGATATAGTCGGCCGATCCTTATGAAATTTGGTAGGTCGGATTAATTGGCCAAATATAAAACCCATAGAAAATCCCAACTTCCTAACTTTACAAACACCAAAGTTATGGCATTTCCGATCAATCAGTTATATGGCAGCTATAAGATATAGTCGGCCGATCCTTATGAAATTTGGTACGTCGGATTGATTGGCCAAATATAAAACCCATAGAAAGTCCCAACTTCCTAACTTAACAAACAGCAGAGTTATGGCATTTCCGATCAATCAGTTATATGGCAGCTATAGGATATAGTCGGCCGATCCCGGCCGTTCCGACTTATATACTGCGTGCAAAGGAAAGAAGGGTGTGTGCAAAGTTTCAATTCGATATCTTTAAAACTGAGAGACTAGTTCGCGTAGAAACAGACAGACGGACAGACAGACGGACAGACGGACAGACGGACAGACGGACAGACGGACAGACGGACAGACGGACATGGCTATATCAACTCAGGAGGTGATCCTGATCAAGAATATATATACTTTATAGGGTCGGAAATGTCTCCTTCACTGCGTTGCACACTTTTGACCAAAATTATAATACCCTCTGCAAGGGTATAAAAATTTCTGATATTAAATTTTGTGATGAAAAATGATTAAGCATTGGCTAATATAGCTAGTTTTTCAAAAGTCGTAGAGCAAACTTTTTGTACCTGTTCTGATCGGTATAATACACTGAAATAACTCTTATGAATGCCTTCTGGAGACAGTAAACCGAGATCTAAACACATAAAATGGTAACCTTACATTTTGTTAAAAAATGTTTGTATTTTGGCATTACACTTATTAGTGGTTATTAGTTTCTGTTTAAAATATTAATTAATATCAAACCATTAACTATTTATAACATGCTTTTAAATCATATCATAATTATGTTTTGATTACGATATGGGTTGTTTTTTATGGTTGAAGAAGACTCTTCGCTTTCGTTGGCTTAAATTCCTGTGAAATATAAATTATGGCCTTATATGTAACTTAAAGGATCACTCTTATAACCCATTTACCTTTTCTTTTTTTAAGCTTCGTGGGCTTGACTTTTCTACTCGCTTTGGTTGCGGATATGGACTTCGGCGGGGGATGATCCGAGTTGTCTTGGTCCTTTAACCCCTTGTCGCCCACTGGCACACGGACATTACAATTGTAAGCATCAGTGTATGCGCTTGTATCTCCTTTGCTATGTTTGTGCGTATAAATGTGGCATTGTGTGCGTGCGGGAGTATCTGTGTGGCGCGTGTTTGTGTTTCTAAGTTCGTTTGCTGCTGCTTCAGCTTCTGTTCCTCTGCACTTTGAAAAAAGTGTAATACCATTGGAATTATTTTTTCGAATTTAGACAATAGGTTGGAATACATATCTGCCCTGATGGAAGGAATTATAGTTTACTCTAACAAAAACGAAAAAAAAATAAACACCATATTCCAGACGTTGGTCTATAGTCCTTTAAAACTTATATTTAGAGACACATTAAACATTTCTAGAGCTTTGAAACAACTTGAATAAATTATGCTTTCCTTTTTGGCATCTTCAGAAATTTCGCAGAAGTCCTTAAGGCTTTTTTTTAAATTCTTTATTGCTTATCCATTTTTGTTTAAGACATATTTTAGCCAAGAGAACATAATGTATTCCAAAGGCCTTGAGGTTAGGCTGCAAGCCTTTAAAACTCTTTATCGTCTCCAATTTTTGTGCCACTTTTTCGCTGAGCGTACTGCTGCCAACAACTCAGCGTTAAAGTTTTTGCGGTAATGGCGCTCTGGGACGTCGACGGCTGATGGACTGTCACGGGGAGGGCGGAAAAGTGGGCGGTTCGTTGGGGTTTTCCCTGGGAAAATGGTAGCCCAGACACAAGAAGAAGAAACGGCAGCCCATTAGGCGAGAGCGTATTACTTATGTAGCCTGTAATCTTGCCTCTCGATTGTTTGCCCTTTCCCGCAGCATCAAGAAATATATTTTTCCTTTCTCCAGTCTCTCTCTAGTTCCTCCCGTTTTCCTCCGCTCGTGGAATAATTTTAATTGAAATTACGAAAAACAAAATTACACAACGCCGCATCAAAAAAGTAGCGAAAGGGCGGATATACACATATTTATATATATATAAATGCCGGGCGTCGGGGATTTCGGGCCTAGTCCGTTGACTCTAGCTCTCGACTGAATTATCATTTTAAATCATTTTGTGTGCTACCACAAAAGTATGCAAATAAAAGGCCACCATACATTTTCGGGCCATTTACAGGGTACCACAAAATGGGAATGACCAGCATATAAGCCACCGAAATCCGCTCATGGCTCTGACTGCATATTTGTTTTCAGCGACAGAAGGGCAAACAATGCAGGATTTCCCATCCTTGTTTCATGGTTTCCCAGGAAAACTTTAAAATAGTAATGCTGTTTTGGTCTCCGCAAAGGGTCATCCTTTCCCAAGACTTCAGTTTCAACCATTAATAGCATACTGAATGCAATTAATTATTTAAATGCTTTTTAAGCAATATATATATGACAGAATCGATATTATTGCTAGATTTTTTTGAGTTCACGTTTGTGGAAATAAACTAATGCAAAATAAAATCACCCAACAAATATAATATATATATATTTAATTAGTTGTTCTGATTATTTATCGTGAGCCGGTCAGCAGTTTGTTTCGCCATGAACTTTTCCCTTGTTTTTGTAATAGAAAGCCGTAGTTCCGTAGAATGTCCGTTTGTCTGCTCTCGTCCATCTTGTGCTTTGTTTTTATTTGGCCGCTTTATTTTTGTTTTGCTTTTATTACGAAAATTATTTCGTGCATTCTGGGCCTATAAAGCCGGGACGTAAAAAAAGCGGCGCTTGAAATGAAAATCGCGTGGCAACTAGACCAGGATCGTTGGCAGTCGGCAGTTGGGATGCGAAAAAAAGGAACAACTCGAAGCTGAATAGAAAAAATATATCACAAAATGAAAAGATAAAAATAAAAATTAGTTTTAATAAAGTCAAAAAGCCACAGGAAGCGTGCTGCTGGCGAAGATGCCACAATGGAAGTTAAATTTGAAAAGCAAATGAAACCGAATTAAATGTGGGCGAGGAAAAACACGCAGGAATTAAAACATGAGAACTAGGAAAAAAATGGCGAAGAGGATGGGGCCTGTGAGATATTATTAAACAATGGCTGGCCTTTTGAATACGAAATACGCTGTCGTTGGCGATGCTAAGCTATGTGGCTATGTCCGTCCCGAAACCGGGGAAATTCTGTTATTGGCAAAAACGCCAAAGAAACCGCGCGAAGTAAGGCTCTTAATTTGTAATTCAGTTTTGTGGCCAAACTAAATTAAATGAATTTTCCTCATTTCATTTTAAAATTCGCAGGTTTGAAAGGCCATCCAACAAAAGCAATCAGAGTCATAGCAATAGCACTTAAATTCTGGGAATTGCACAATGTTCATTCAAACATCACCCCGGAGGCAAATAGATATCGAGTGTTGAAGTCCCATAAATTTTGAGATTCCAGAAGTGGTAGTCATTTTATACAAAGTTTCGCCGGAAAAAGAAACTCATAAGCAGCTTAAAAAGACAGAGAAACTCCCAATTGGACAGAAAATGACACCGGCTGGAGAAGAATTTAATTTAAATAGCTGAAACTGTGCCACAGAAACTAAGAGAATGGTTTGCCAGATTAAAGCGAACGAACCCCGAAAAGTGTCCCACTTTTAAGACTTTTCCCGCCGGGAATCTACATCTCTCTCAAATGTCCCCAAAGTGATTTTGGCTAATCGATAACGCACAAGTCTCAATGATAAACGATTTCCCTATTAAATTAAAAGTGCTTACAGCTAAGAATGAATTATTTGGCCTTGAAACAGACAGAAACGTCCTCTGTTTCAACTGGCGTTCAATATTTGGGAAGCTCTTTAACAAATTCCATCGATTGTCTGCCAAAGTGAATGACCGAATTATAGCGGGAATGAGTTGGTGGATGAGACTAACTAACCGAAGCTTCTATGGACCCTCTTGTTCACATATTTGTATATAACTAACTAGCTGGGCACACACCGCCGCACACATCAAGTCCATGGAGTGCTCCACAAATAAGAAGGGAGCCATTCCGTCGGCCGTTGTTGTTTTCGTTTCGTTCCGCCTCTGAGCTCTGAGTTTCCCATCCTTTGCTCCTCGCGCATCGCAGCTCCTCGCGTTACACTCTTCTGCACTCAAAAAAACGGTCCAGGTCTTAGAGCAATGGTGTTAACTGATATTTGCATTTAATACCTAGATCAGTCATCTGTTTTTTGATTTTTTCGCATATATAACATATATAAACATATAAACAATGGCTGTCAGCAAGTTAAAATGAATAAACCTAAAAATGGGTAAAAAAAAATCTTGAAAAGCACTAAAAGCTAGTCTTTTATTCACTCTCTTATTCAGAAACGTTTAGGTATTGTTTAAAGCTCAGTTATGGTATATTTTCTCCAAGTGTTTGAAATATCCCACTGTATTTTTTGCCAGTGCTTGCGTTGTTATGCTTCCGTTTACCCAAACTATTTGCCCGCAGCCACGTGTGTGTGGCTGTGCGTTGTTCCCTTCATATTTGTTGGAGTTTGTCTATGACGGCAACGTCGTCTAAATTGAATAACTGCCATTCGCTTAGGCCCGAGAAATCGAGGCGCGGGTCGGAATCCTGGAGAGAGTCCAAGCGACACTTAGCTGAGTTATCCTAATAAGACACAACTGCCTCAACAAGTCCTGAAAGTCCTCAAAGTCCAGGAAGAAGCGGGAAAAGAAGACCAAGACAAATCCGCAGCCGTGCTAAAAGCAGGCGACATCATCGTCCAGTCAAGTGTCGAAAGGCGATTACACTCGGCAAAATCTGAGCTGATTAATATCGTAAAACATAACTCTAACACTTGCGCATTTTCTAGTATTTTTCACGAGCTACGTTAATTAATTTTTCACTATTTTGCGTACGAATTTTTATTGGATACCACAATCTGCGTTTTAAAAACGAACGCTAATATTTTAAATCTAAAGTTTTTTGCTAATTTAAGCAACATATTCTTGGGTTGGAAAAAAAATAGACTTAAAACCACAGTGTTATAAATATTTACTCCTGGGTTTTTTGCTCGGTGTACCGCTGAATGGGTGCTTGGCATTTATGGTGTGACTGCTGTGCAAAAACTTTGTGCAACAATGGACCAAGTACCCGAAATGGGGATCAGTAGGAGGCGGCGTGGTCCTGTTTTGACTGCAGCACAAGCTGCTCCTGCGATTGTTGGCGGATTTAACGCAGTTCGCTTTATGGTCCGCCAGTTGACTGCCGGAGTCAGGTTTCAGCCTTGTGCTCTGTCGTCTTATGCACAGAAAAAAATATATAATATATAAATTAAATCACTGCATTTGACCCACAACCATCTTTGTTTACTCGGATGCATAATGATATCGTTATATATCGATACGATATTATAAAGCGACTATCTCTATATTATATGATGGGATACATTTTTACAGTTTTATTTATATTGGATAGCTAATAATTTTAAATATTTAAATTATTTACAAGAAAATGAGTTCTAATTGTTAAATGAATTAATATATTTGGTAACTATGTTGTTCAAAAATATCTAAAATACACAAAGCCTTCAGTTTCGAAATGTGTATTAAGGCCATAAAGAGTTGTTATTTTAAAAAGTGATAGAATTGACAGTTCAGTGATTTTTTCCAGTGTTCTCATGGCCATTGCGAGTGGCCCAAGACGCCAAGCGATGGCGATGGTGGCTCGGATTGGATCGGAACTGTTTAAGCTGAAACGGCTCTCAGTGGGCCTTACGCTTCTCGCCAAGTTCTCGCAGTCAGTTGCAGTTAAGTATACAATTATTAATAGCTGCACTGCTCCTGCTCTGGCCCCATTTACTCCGCAGACATGAATCTAAAGCGTTTTGACGCTTGAACCACTTCTGCAGCTTAATATTGCTCTAAACCTTTGGAACCTGGAAACCGCCACAAACCCATTCAGGAGTCTGTCTTCAAGAGTTCAGCTAAAATAATTGACCCATAAATCTGGGAACAGCAAGATAAGCAAACAAAGTATTAAAAGTTTTTTAGAAATATAACTAGATATTATATGACCGTTTGGCTTGTAGAGTTGCTACCATTTCAAAGCAACATGTCAACCCTTTAAAAATCCTATGAATTCCGTAATTTTACCTTCTGTAATCTATGGTTACACTTGGCAATTGAAAATTTCTGACATTCGACGAGCATTTGTGGAGAAAAGAAAGCCTAACCATGTACAATTATCAAGTCGCAGGAATTGAACTTACTAGTGGACCAACCCGTCTAACGAGTCGCATTTTTGTGCAAAACTTGCCGGACTGCACTCGCGAAGAACTCGCGGACCATTGTAAGGAATTTGGCCAAATTCTGGGGTCTCTGGTCGAGGAGAACCGTGGCTACATCCAGTATGCAAAGCAAAGCAGTGCCCGGAATGCCATAAGTGTGCTCCACGGATCCACTTTCCAATCGAGGGTCCTGACCGTCACAAGCGCCAGCTTTCGCACCATGGAAGAATACGGCTTTATCCCTCCTCAAGGCTAAAGCTGATTCGAAGGGGAAGCCAGAAAGAGAAGGTAAAGGAGGACGAAGAGAAGGATGACAACGAGGAGAAGAATGACAACGAGGAGAAGAATGACAACGAGAATGAGGATGACAGCGAAGAAGAGAATGAGGACGGAAAAAAGAAGAAAAAGAATAAGGAGGACGATAAAAAGGATATGAACAAAGACGAAGACGAGAACGAGGACTACAAAGAAGAGGACAAGTACTTGAACAGGACGAAGAAGAGAACAAGGAGGAGAATGAGGGTAAAGAAAAGAAAAAAAAGAACCACAAAAAATACGACGATAAGGACAAGTATGAAATTGAGTACAAAGACGAGGACGAGGATGACAAGTACGAAGAAGACGACAAGGATGAGAACAAGTACGAAGAAGACGACAAGGATGAGAACAAGTACGAAGAAGACGACAAGGATAAGAACAAGTACGAAGAAGACGACATGAAAAATGACAAGGACGACAATAAGGACAACTCTATTTCGCAGCCATCGACTGAGAATGATGGCAATGACGGCATTTCTGACACCTAAAGCTTAACAATAAACTTTTAAGCCGATTTCTAAATTAAACTGACTGGTTTTATTTTTGGGAAGCAACACCTCTAACTAACTTCGGCAAGCCGATGACTTAACATATAGCTAAATTTTAACCGATTGTTCCAATGACAGCCATGGGATATGGTATCCCATATAGTTTTATGATGCTCGAATCGCAATATATGACAGAAGCTCTTAAAAGCTGGTTCCTGGTGGTAAAAATGATTTTTTAAACTCTTTAAAACTTTAAACTTGAAATTAATTTCGATAATGTGCCTTTGTTGTTCCCAGTCTATGCAAACTTGCATAAGCATTTAGCAGATAGTTTCGGCTAATTCTCATAATCATAAAAATTTAAATAATAATTATTCTTGAAACTTTGTCCTCGAGTTGGTTTTCAACTTTTTCACGAAAGGGGGTGGTGGGGATCGCTCTTTGTGATTCGAGGGCCAGATGCTATCTTTTCTGATCTATGGCAAGGGTCAGGATTGGATTGGCTTCGCATGGCCCTCGGGCGTTCTGCCGTTTTATTTGGCTTTCAACTTTTGGGCCAACTCACATTATACGCATAATAACGGTCAATAATTATGGAGATTTCAACGTTGCCCACAGCACAATTGCATTGAGAAAATGAGGGAAAAGCTGCTCTTAGCAAAATGTTGATTATATATTTTGACGTAGTTATAAGTGAAACACTAAAACCCCTGCCCCTCATAACTTAAGTCCGTTCCAAAGCAATTGCTACGTGCTCTGTGCAATGGAATTTTCTGTTTTCGCCCGTTGCTTTTTCCCGCATTATGTTACTTTATTTTCTCTTTTTCCGCCGCAGAAAACTTTAACAGCACTGGGCAAAAAGGGGGATACTACTTCCCCAACTGCCAATACACCCATAAAAATCATTAATTTTTCAAGTTCCCCTAAAACGTATTTTTTGTATTTATATTTAAATTTTTCATTTCTATCTCGTAAATATACGCAATCTGTTTTTGACTAGAAAAATAATTCTTCATAAAGTTTTAACAATAATCGGCTTTTTTTCTTTGGCATAAATGGCTTATTCTTGTAAACGATTGCATTTTTTTTTAGAGCTAGGCATTTTTTTCTATAGATCTAATGGATATTTGTTTTTAAAATCATACATTTCTATAAGTGTACTTACATTCATAGTACATATATGCGTGTATGGCTTGGCTATTAAATTTCCAGTTCAATGATTAACGAAATTTATGTTTCGGCTTACGTATAACTAGGCGTCCCTGTGTGTGTTGCTGTGCGAGTGTGTGTGAGTGTGGGTGAGTGTGTGTGAGTATGGGTGAGTGTGCGTGAGTGTGTGAGACTGTGTGTAAGTGAGTGCGTGACGCCTTGAAGGTGCCGCTAACGATGCCCAAAGCGGAATACCGAGTTCATGGGTTAGCAGCAACTGCGACTTGCCACTCCTCAATTAAATTGCTCGAAGCCGATTTATCCTGAAACCATATCCTGCAGCAAATATGTGATATATAGCATAAAGGGAATTCCTTCGAAAGGACTTAATTATGAGCTGTTGTTGTAATTGTAATATTGTTTCATGAGTGTTTAGTTTAACACATTTCACTAAGGCTTAAAATTACACAATTCGCAATAGATTTTATGCAAAATATTATTTTATTTAAAATTGTTTATATAATTGGAATATCAATAAAATTATGATAAAATCTTAAATATATTTACATACGTTTACATGAAATTAGGCAAGCTTGGCTATTTATTACAACGGCAATCGTAAGGTGTTTCAGGTGTTGTTAGGTCTCCAAGTTGTTCCGCATAAACGTTAAATGGGAAGTGCGTGCCTCGAAGGAAACGAAGCACACTGATGGACAGACATCGGGACGGAGGAGGATCCTTTCCGAAGGATGCGGCTGGAGATGCGTCGCGACGTGTCGGTGGGTCATTAAATATGGATGTCTTGTACGGAGCAGCTGGCTGGCGAGGTCCCGAGCTCAAGCCATTCAATTAAGGCGCATTTTGTTGCCTCTCTAATCTGTTTGAAATATTGACCATGCGCAAAATGGTGTCAGCCGGGCCCAAACTGAAAAGGAAAGGCTCTGTGCTGTGCTGTGATGAAGGCTGAAGTTGGAGTGCATGCAGCACCAAAGCAAATATGTTCAGGCATGCAAAATAATCAAGTTGAAGCGCAATTAATTTTCAACTGGTACTGGTGCTGTGCTGGTCCAAAACGGGTTCAAGATCCCCCGGGAACTGGTTCACACATTTACGGCGAAAAGTCTTGGGGGCACTTTGGCTAAAAGTGTTTAAACAGGACCACAAGTCAATGAAATATTCATGAGTCCATTCAGTTTCACATGCCGAGACTAATTTTGAAACCTTATATCCTTAAAGATATTTTCGAATAGTTTTGCATAATTTCAAGCTCTTTGAGAACCTATCTTATATTCAAAGCTTAATCCGTTTTAGATTATGATCAAATTAGTTTAATTTGACGATGGCCTGCTTTATGAAAAACATTAAACGTCTCAGCTTCTTATTTGTTAGGTGACATTTAATCCCCATTTATTTGCACCCCACTGCAATATTCTGTTGCATTTCCGTTTTGGGGGCAAAAATGAAATAAAATGAAAATGAAAAAAGCTTAATATATCTTTAATGTATCTTCTATAATTTTGTGTCGCATTATTTATGAACCCATATAAATGCATTTGCATTAACCTGGTGTGAGAAAAGTTTTCAATAGCTGTTGCAAAATCATAACAAGGAATGGTTTTGCCACAAATTGAAAAACAATATAATATTTGTTGCAAAAGAAATTTATTGATTTATTTGTCATCATGTTTGCCACATTATTTATGAACTTAAAGTAAAATTTTATGGAATTCGTTTTTAGTGAGCATGCAAAGCAATCGCAAGAATTTGCTTTTTGGCAAATAGATAAAATGCGATAGCAAGTTTGGCATATTATATCGGAGCCTTAATCAAAAGCAAGAATATTTGCAATGGCAAGTGCAATGTGGATTGAAGTAATAATATACTTACTATACCCGTTACTTGTAAAGTAAAAGAGTATATTGTATTCGCTAAAAAGTAACAAATTGAAGGAAGCATTAAAAGAATTATACACCATTAATTTTTCATAATAAAACTAGTTTTATAACTTTAAAGCACAAAGTATGACTGATTTTGTTTTAGAAGGTAGATATACACAAATATTTGTCCGAAAAACATTTAAAAAAATGGAAAACAAGATTATACTTGCTTTTGTGAGTGCCAAGTTTCACATGCTTTTTGACTTTTTGCGGAGTAACCCAATTTTCTCCGCTTTTCCGGGGAAACTAGTAGTTTTCACCTGGGTCGGCGGTGCGTGTTGGATGTCAAATTGTCCGGTCGACAGAGGCTATAACCCGTTTAAATCTCAGTCCCCCTGCCACGCCCCGTTTTCATCTGTGCCCCTTTTTTGGGCCAGTTGACTTACTTTGTTCAATGCCAAACAAACGACCAACAAAATTTGAAAAAAACACAGAGAAAAGGAATTTTCTTGGCAGTAAGTTGAATGTTTTTGCTGCCGGACGAGGGCCAGTGCATTGTGTGTGCATAAAAAAAAAAGAAAAGAAAGGCGACTTATATAGCAACTAAGAGAGTCTGACTATATACTATATTTGGGGTGACCCAATTAAACTGAAAGCATATGCGATTTCGGTCACTTCAATATTTAACACATTTGGAATTTCCAATGGAAGTCTCCCCAAACTCATCAGCCACAATGTCAGGTGGACTATTTTTAAAAAACATTGCCTTTTTTAGCCATGTTATCTGACATATCAAAACAAACAATAAATCAATAACAAGCGAATAAATGTACGTGTATAAATAATGCATTTCACCTGGGAGTTTGAGTACTACACTTTCACTTTTTAAAGATTTAAATTTATAGATTTGAAAAATAAATCAGGCAATTGATTTGTGGGACCAAAAACTAAACTTTCCTTATATAGTATATATATAAAGATATATATAAATGTTTACACAGATATTTGCTGGCTGCACATAAACAGTCGTTATTCTATGTCAGCTGCATTTCAGTGTGTGTTACAGTTGGGCGTAGTAGTTGATGAGGGCGGTGATTGAGGTTGAGGTTGAGGTGCCCTGTGACACCGACGACCCCCAGGAAAAGCCGGGAAAACTTCTGTCGACCCACGAAGCCGACGACAAACCGAATTCGTTGTCGTTGCCGTTGTCGCGATAGAAAAAGCTTTTTCAATTGTTTCCGTTTCGAGGTCATGACAAATGCATTCTCTTTATTTCTTCTCTCCACTTTGTTGCTTTTTTTTATCTTGTGCGCAAATTTTAGAGGCAAACAAGCGGCAATGAACTATAACCCCGATCCCCCACCCTCTATATGCTGTATGTCACTTTTCGTCTTTAATGTCGAGACCTTAATAAAATTGCTTACCTTTTTGAAGAGACAACGGAACAAAGCGGGAAAGGAGAATCAACTCAGGAAAAAAATGAAACGAGGAGGCAGTGGGTGCAGAATGGGCGCATGGAATGACAACAAAGCATAATAAAACCAACAAGCGTGCAGCAAAAAGCAACAAACAATAGCTCCCTGTGGCTCCATTTAAAAGTCGACAAATAAATGCCCTCAAAATATTTGCCCTTATTGTTAGGCAACACCTTTTGATCTTGGTTGACGGCCATAATTTTATAAAAAATAATAATAAATAATAATATTAAAATTAGTAGTATATACATATCCCAAACAAGAGGAAACCTTTTTAATGACATTGTGTAATATTTGGTGTAACACAATATAATCATTTCTTAAAGTATTTTTAAACAGAATATAGATGTAAGTGAAGTGAGTCAAAAGTGTTTTGTTCCAAAAGAAGAAACATCGCAGTAAACACAAAGTTTTCCCCCTTTTCATTTTGCATGCGATAAGTATGCAACGAAAACTTCAACTCGACCAAATGAAGCGACAAGGCAAGTGATTTGCATTTGCATTTGCTGGACCCTCGGCCATCGATGGGCATCAAAGC